ATTGCAGATATTCATTTCATCTATGGATTTTGCAATGGTAAGGCACGGGCAGCAGTTCGTGAATACCGAAGGAGATTCCCAAATCGGCCTACACCTAATCACCAGACATTTCGTGATAATCATAGGCGATTGGCAGAAAATGGTATTCGTCAACCAGTAGGTGAACGTGCACGTGAAATACCAGTTTATAATGAAGAAACCGTTCTTAATATGGTTTACAGAGATCCAAGATTAAGCACGAGGCGAATTGCTCTCCGACTTGGTATGTCGCATTGGACAGTGTGGCGTATTTTGAAAAGTGAAGGCTTATATTCTTACCATTTTCGACGCGTGCAGAATATTAGTGATCCGGACTATGCAGCACGTTCAGTTTTTAGTGCGTGGATTAATCAAAAGGTGCGGCAACAGCCAAACTTTTTAAAGAAGATTTTATGGAGCGACGAAGCTTCGTTTACAAGAGCGGGGATAACCAATTATCGTAATTTACATATGTGGATTACCGAAAACCCTCATGCAGTGAGACCATCCTCATTCCAGCATGAGTTTTCTGTCAACGTTTGGGCTGGTATTATTATTTGACCAATTAGTTGGACCGGTGGAGTTGCCGATTAAATGGCCCAAGATTTTTGGAATTTTTAAGGACAGAGTTTGTGGAATTACTCTCAGAATTGCCAATCGCACGTCTCCGAGGAATGTGGTTGCAGCTGGATGGAGCCCCGGCTCATTTCGCCACAGCTGTGAGGCAGCACTTGAATGAAAATTATCCACAGTGGATTGGAAGAGGCGGCACTGTTGCGTGGCCTCCGCGTAGTCCGGATTTAACTCCATTAGATTTTTTTTTTTGGAGTTGGATGATACAAAAAGTTTATTTTAACCCAGTGAATACGAGAGAGGAGCTATCGGCGCGCATTCGTGAAGCTGCTGAAGAAATTCGTGCAAATCCCGAAATTTTATATCGGGCCACAGAGCAGGTGGGAATTCGGACAACAGCTTGCCTTCTAAATAGGGGGGGACATTTTGAACACCTTTTATAATTTATGTGTTTCTTTTTTTTTGTAAAATAAATAATCTAATATTTTTTACTGTTTTTTATTTCAAATTAACTTACTACATCTCAACACAAAACAATTTACTAGAAAGACTGTAAAATTTACTTATTTCGCTCTCGGAGACGTTATGTTGCAGAAGCTGTAACTTTTAGAATTGTGGACATAGGATTATGATTTTTGTCGTGTTTTTAAGAACAGCTGAAATACTTTAAAATTCATACATAAAAACAGTACCTTAATTTTGTTATTTTAGGATTAAATTACAAAAACTTAGTTTTTTTGGCAGTTCTTTTGGTAAAAATTTACATTCATTATTTTTATTAGGCAATCCCTCACTTTTTTATGTACATGACAGATATTTTATTCAATTGCCGCTAATCTTAGCTTTCTGAAAAAATATTTTTTATGTTCGTACTGCTTTTACTTCTCATAATATGATAATTTTAGAACAAACGTTTAGCAAACTAAGTATAAAAAATCAAAATGGCTGCCATTCCTAGGGAGTTGAGTTTTGACCCCACATGTATTAGTGTTTTTCACATAATATTGAATACTAAACACCCCCTTAAAGTTTGTACAGTGCGTGCCCTAACACACTGTATAATAAGCTCATTTTATTGGAAGGACAATAATTTTAATATTTGAAGTCGATTCAAAATTTAAGACTTAATTTTTTTTAAGTAATCAACATTTTTTTTAAACAAATAAAATAAAGGACTTAAATATCTTATTCCAGTATTTTTCTACTATATTAATATTACGACTACTTGTAATCAACAAAAATTATTCTATTTAGAATCGATTAATCCAATGAAAACCGTTCAATGAAATCGATTTAAAGAGAGCGGAAGAAGGTTTTCATCACTACTATTCGCTTGGTTTTCATACAAATTGCTGTACTTGCGACGTCTATGTAGATATATGTCTGTGACTTAAACACATGTCTCATCTTACAGTTTGTACGCAAATTTGATTCTTTTTACTGTTTTCATATGCATGCGTTGCCTTTATGAAGAACTTGCTTGCGAGTGTCAAGTCAAATTTGTATAGAAATTGTTTCAAAAAATCGAATTTTATGTAAAAAAAATCTCTTTAAAAAAATATGAAGGAATTTGAGGTAAGATAAAACATTACCCTTTGTGCACCACAGCGGTATAGCTAAAATCAGATACACGTAAAGCCACACTTTGACAACGTTCCAAAATTCCTCAGCTGAATCTTCTGGCGACACCCTATAGTCACCAAAGTTAAAAAATAAGCGAGTATTCAGCCACGTGTGTCCTGCTGACATATTTCCTTTCGAAATTTTGACCGGTACTATTATGTTAAGATTTTCTAAAACACCCACTTCGACGCCGGCTTAAAATACACAAAACAAATTTATGATATTGATAATGTGATAGGTGGTATATGAGCGAAACTACGTTATTTTGTTTTTTTCGTTTTATGTTCAAATTCTGAAATTTTTTGAGAGAGCTGAATGTAAACATTACAGACGCGAATAATGGTGGATTATAATAGTAACGCACACACTCAACATAGCCCCGCACTAGGGATACCCTGTGTCGCGGGTGCCATGGACACATGCATAGACAACCACAAACTCACGAGTGAAATTAATGTAGGTCATACAAATGTTTCTTTCGGCCCGGTAATCGAACCTGGGACCTCTGCGTGGCAGCCCGGCATGGTAATCGTTCAACCACGGACGCAGTTAAGATTCAAGGGGGTATGGGACATGTTCGTGTTAACCCATCCGACATTAGTAGGTACCATAAGAACTTAAAAATCGTAAATAAAACCCATAATATCGTTTAGTACTTCACGCCTTCCGCATTTCCCTTTCACACCTTCCCAACCACAATTTTAAATCGTTCATGGTTAGTAACGGTATTTAGCGTAAAATTAAATATCAGAATATGATAGTTCGGGGTACCCCGTTTCTGTATATGGATCTCAAAAAACCAAATACGGGCTTTGCAGGGTGATTTCCAAGTGCTTTCTATGTAGTTGCCACCTACTACTTCTCCATAGATTAAGCATCAACAACGTACGGACAAAATTCAATGATTTACATTTACCATTTTATATTGAACAAATAAGCACTATGCATTGAACTACCAAAAAGAAAAGTAGTGTGATTTTTATGTGCGGTGCTATTTAAGTACTGTCCATGAACGGGTTAATAAAACAAACTCAAAGAGACGATGTGCCACGAAAGAATTAAAAATTACGGCAAATGAGTGGTGATACATTCATTTACCAGCAAGATAATGGATGGTCTTTAACGACTCCACGTGGCTTTTTAAATTAGTTGTTTCGGATCACAAAATTGTTACTTAAAAATCCTTATTTCAAATACTTATGTAAGGAACGATTTTTTTTAATTTATCTACTTTATTATATTTCTCTCTTATAACCTTAGCTCTCACTGCCTTGGGTTGGCTGAAAAAGATAAGTCCACCGCTCACCTGTTAATATTTCTGTTGTATTTTTTTGGTGCAATAAAGAATATATATTATATATAATACTATTGAAGTTTAAAGTAGAATCAAAAGTTAAATGAGTTAAGTACACCCCAAGTAAGTTGTTTATATAACTATGTTACATATCTACAATAAGAAACTTCTGAGAAAAAAAACTTTGTGTCCTTTTTTTTATTTTGTTAACAATCCTTCGATTTGTTAACCAAACATTATAATGTACCTTATTCTGACATAGGTAAATAAATTGATTGATTGAAACATTATGCACCATTTTTTAAGACACATAATTAATGGCTTTCAGAATTTCCAGAATATGTAATCGATTTTACGAAATTTTGTTAAATCTTCTGTGCTTTTCAAAATACTAATATTTATAGTTTTTTTTTTAATTTTAAATGTCATTGCATTGCAGTATACATGTATCACGAAATTAAATAGAAATAACTTGTTGGACTGTTTATTTATTTATTGCCAATCATTTTTCGTCCAGTCAGCATTAAAAATTGTAAAAACAAACACTTATGTTTTGTATATTTTTTTTATAGTGGTCCGAAACAACCAATTTCAAATGTAACAGTCGTTTCACTACGCGGTCCGAAACGCAAGTGCCGATACTTACAAACATACATATTCGATACAACAACGCATATTAAAAGCATAACGAAATTGAACTTTACAAGTAGATGTAAACAATGTTTTAACGAAACTAACTTGGTTTCTCAGCATAATAAGTACCATTCGTATTTGCTTCCTTCGTGGCTTCGTCAAAATATTCTTGTAGTAGTGCATTATAGTCGTAGTCGACATCTTTTTGCTTATGATGTCTTTTGATCCTGCGTTTTCTGAGCTGGAAATAATAATTCAAAATTAAAATTAGTTCACACAAATCACTTTTAATATTAATAAAACGCCTTTAGTTTGTGCTGTCTATCACCTAAACCAAAACATTTAAACCAAAGCCGTAGCCTTGCCTTTTTGTTTCAGTAAAAATAGAACAAAATAATGTAAATGACATGCTTATTATTTCCGCGTGACTTTGAGTAGAGTCGTTAACCTGCGCCGGCGCGCGCAGCTGATAACAGTATCAATATTTGGTTTCATATTGGTTATCATAGCTAATTTTATATTTTGTTTGAGTTACATGTTCGGTTACTGTTACGAATTGACTAACTTATCTTTGTTGTAAAGTATAAAATAAATTCATGTATAATTTTTATATTTTTAAGATAAGAAAAGCTTCTTAACTCACAAAGTTAGCAGGCGGATGGGAAATGACTATTGTAATAAAGCTAAATAAAACTATTTAGCAAATACCTACTTGGTGTACAAACACGTGTCTTAAAAGAAAAATAAAATTGCACAGATTTACAGAGAATATGCAGACTTACAAATCTATAATTACATGCATAGTAAAATACGATAACTCCATATAAGCGTGGCAGCGCGGCTTGTATGCAATGCCCGCCGCGCACTGTATACGGACGCACGCATTAGAATAATCTCGCGATGCACTTGCGTTGCATAACATCACACGCACCTTTCATTATTATACGGATGTTGTGTCCGTACACGGAGCGCGGCGGTCGCGCACATATAGCAGCTTTGTTACTTTGTACGGAGTTACCATATTTTTCTTATTTTACTATGCTAGAAGTGACTGACTATTTATTAAATAATAAAGTGTATGTCATGCAATATGCTTCACAATAAGTAAGTCTAAAGAAACTGGATTTTATGTTTGTTACTTACTGGTGTCTCATTAGTGGTTATTATATGATCTGTCATACTGCTAATTAAAAGCAGCATATAACCTCCATCGATAACCAAATTTGTGCTAGTTTTTAAATATCTCTTATATTCCTTACTTCCTACTCTGCAATAGAATAAGTACAGTGTTATTTATAGTTCAAATTCCGTACATCGAATTTTTAACTTACTAACTTTGTTGAAACTGTAGTTACACGAGCTAGAATTTGGACTGCGTCTCAGACTACAGTGTTACTGTACGCCATATCATCTGTTCCGTAGATATTTCTCAGCGTTAGTTCGTCACCTTTTGTGTGTTTGTGCATGTTTGTTATCTCTATCGTTATATGCAACTTCACAGGTACTATATTTCACACTTTAGTGTATCTACTGTACGCCTTATAACAACTACCGACAGTTACAAGAGTAGATATTAGCAAAGTCCCTACTCCGTAGATATTTATCAGTGTTAATTCGTCACATTTTATTATTACATTTCCTAACTGTTACTCGGTAATATTCAACGCTCCATTTTGTACAATTCCAATAGACTGTTTTAGTTTTGTACACTTTTTTGTGGGTAATGCTTTATTTTATAATGAAATAAAGCATTTCCCACCAAGAAGTGATAATGATCAAATTGTTAGTGTGGCCCTTATACTTAGGACCCATCGATATGTGGAACACCTTTTCCGATTATTGGTGAGACTTACAATGTCATAGATGAAATAAAGGTAGCTATAATAATTTCATATAAATCTAGGTATAAATTCACGGGTGATGCAAAGTATTTTGCAAACTGTTACACCTGTTATGTTCTCCACAGTATATTTATTTATTATATAAAAATTATTACCTATTTAATCTTTTAACTCTCTTAAAACCTAGATTTGTTTGTTTTGGCTCCAACTTAATCATTTCCAAATCTTCATTAATTTTATGACGCGCGCTGTTCTTCAAGTCACTGTGTAATTTAACAGGGTATGCGAAAACAAAACCTTGGATAACACTAAACACGCTTATTACACAAAATAACATTAACTATTTTATCTAAATACATGTTTTTCGGTATTTTCCCAGAAATGTTTGTTTACTTAGTTCGTGTCAAAATTGGCAATTATTTGACAACGGTCACAGAGAAAGTGTCAATTTGTAAGAGATTTATTTTTAAAGAGATTTGATTTTGATTTATGTAAGGTGATAAAGTATTATAATATCTATTATTTATTGTTCTAGGTGTTTATACAACGTGCTTTATTAATGATATGTGTATAATTTAAAGTAAACTATACACGCACAAAAGCACGCACGCACGCACGCTCGCAAGCACGCGCGTGCGGGCACTAACTCAAGTTTTAAGTTTCTGACTTAGAACTACACGAAGAATCGTTGCGAGCAATAATACTTATTATACTTGTAGTTGGGACAGTTTTAGCCCTTTCAGCACGAGAAAATAATTTTTTATAATTGGATTTGATGTTGCATTTTTTTAAGCATTTATGCCATTAGTAAAAAGAAAAATATACAAAATAAAAAGAAAAAGAAATCACTCTCCCAAAACCCTTGCAACAACCCCCCCGCACGAATATGGTATCCCATCATGAACCTTATCAAAGCGTTAACGTTTTTTTTTCTATGACTTAATAAAAATTTTGCAACAAAATTTGCAAAAAAAAATAAAGCAACAAAATCAACTATATTATTGAAACTTGAAGTTTATCACGTGTTTCACATGAAATATAACAAAATATGAACTTATTATTAATTAACGCAAAATACCAATTAATCGAGATCTTTTCCGTCGATTCGTCGTCAAAATACTCAAGAAAATGACAAGTTCCAATCGTAGGGCGAGATGGGTATCTACCACAATTGATCCCCTTCATCATATGACATTTGCCTCCACTTCTTTGATCTATGTGATGACGGTGCGTCAGTCGAACGACTTCGCCTTTCTGATCGTGACCGTTCTCGAACATAGTAGTATGGCTCCGAATAGATGATGATCGACCACGACTTTGGTGAGCATCACGGGTAGGTACTTGAACGGGTACTGTTAGAAGATCGAACAAGACTGGATGATAGAAGTGACTGTGGAGAATTCGGAACCCTCTGAAAAACGACTGGTCTGGGCTGGTTCCTCCACCAGCGATACGCGTTTGCGTTTACGTCTCTGGTGGACTCAGACTTGGGTATGGACTCGCCGGGGTTTGCGGTTAGCTGCAGAGACAGACTTGTTTGTCTGCCCCGGTTGGGTGTGGCCGGGGCGTCTGTCCGAAGCCTGAAGCGAGGAGACGCGCGGGACACGTGAATTGCCCTTTAAGTTGGAAGCTATGTCCGGCCATTGTCGTGGACTGGCATCTCTAGCTCTACCTCTAGTTGGCACTAGTAAGCCCGGAGAGCTAGCAAAGGATAAGCTAGATATCCTCCGGTCCCTCCAGCAGCTTAGGTTATTGGGAACCGGAGAGACGTCGTTTTTCGGCGTAGGGAAGTAAGCGTGCCTTACAGCTCCACCACCAATGAAGAGATTTGGTAGTGCACACCGAGTCGACGGCTTAGCGGCTTAGCTAGTTGTGCAATGCGCAACGGGAAGTGAGCGTGCCTACAGCTCCGGTACCTATCTGGAAAATAGGAACGGCACTGTACGTGCACCCTGTGTGGCTCACCCGAGGCCTAGCCTCTCGAAGAACCGGATGAAGTCAAGTGACAGAGGTCTGTGACAACCCTGTATACTGGCTGATCTGGGGTCAGAACCTGAACTTAGAAGGTTCCTGTACGCACATAGGTTATAGTGCCCTTCTCGTATACTCTCAAGGTCGGTAGGGAGGGTCATTATAATCAAAATTAACGTAGAAACATATGGGGCTGGCCTGGGCTGGTAAGAGTTTCCGCTGACCGACTTTCTGGCTACAGATACGACTTGATTAGATACACGGTAGCGAATAGTCGACCTCCTACCACAACTGCGATTACTACCACAACGACTGTTCGGAGACGATATGAGAGCATTAAATCCTCTATCAGCTCCGAAAAAATCGAACTTTTCTGAGGTTTCTTTTAGGTTCGATTTTTTCTGAGCTGATAGAGGAGCTAGACGGTGAAGACTCACTATCACTTTATATCCACGTGACAGTGAAGAGTCACTATCACTTTCTATCTCCTGTTCTCAATGTTCAAGGATTTGTCGCCGTTTCCGATGACTTGTGCAACCAAATCGCATGTTAATGTCCCTAAAAACAAAAAAATTAAGTAAAAAAATACTAATCTAGTCATTTCTATCCTGACAAGCACGATCGTGTTTTATGACTTTATGACTGAATAAAAACCAAAATTTGTAACAATTCACTGCTTAATTATTTTTTATGTAAAATATAACACGTAATTCATTGACTTACAATTATATGGACGTCGGGTCCGCGCTAAAAAGTGTCCGAACTTATAGGGCGTTAAAATCGTATACACAGCGTCATTCACGCTTTAGTCTTCGTTTGTTCGACTGACAGCGAAGCAAGCAAAATCAGACAGTACTGCGATGACATTACAATTTAAATTCAACGTTTTAGCTTTTTTATATTCCTTTACATGTCACTACATTTAAATAGGTTGACTTGGGACATTTTTTTCGTGGTTTGTGTATTAGACCCGTCGTCCATTTATTTGTAAGTCAATGATGTAATTAATAAGAAAATACACCATTAGGTCAGAAAACACGAAATGATGAAATTTAAAAAAATCTTGCTTTTCGACCTGACGTCCGCACGGCGTGTACCTCACTTGTCGGTTACGGCACCGGTGTGTAAACCTAGAACACGGCCGCACTGCTTTAACAGCGAATATTCGAACGCACAAACGATCGGTGTTGATCCGACGCGTTAAAGTTGAATACTTTTATACCCAAATTTTTTCAAAGTTGAACGCACGATCGTATCATTCTGTGCTGTAAGGGTTATATCCCGGATCCCGGGATCCCGGAGGAATGTTCATAAATCAACAGTGGTCATCAAAACAATGTTTGAGATACAGTATCTTAATAATTCTAATTATATGTATAAATTCCGGTCCGAAATAAATGCTTATTAATTATTATTATAAAGTAAGCGTTTGTTTTTTCGTTTCTTTTTCTAAATATTCCACAAAATTGGTAGTTGCAACAACTTGTCGCAAAGTTTAGCTAAGTATAGTCTACTAACCTATCCCCAATAACGTTTATTTTTAATGTACCGGGGAAAAAAATTTTGTCATAAAGTAGTCTTCACTTTCTATATCAGTTCCTCGAAGTTTAGGTAAAAACTACTTATTCCGATCTCGTATGACACAATTGTAGGCGAGATTTTAGTTCTGACATGTATATAATAGTACTAGTCATATACATACATGTAATCTTGTGACGATTATTGTATGCGATTTTAGAAACAATTTCTCACCACGAAGCGTGCGATAGACTCTCCATCTAAATGGTCCTTTAGAATTAGAAATTACCAATATGTACAATTTATAAATTTGTTATCGCTCATGACTATTTAATGTAATTTCCTGATTTTGAATTATTTTTGATATATCGAGTTCTTAAACTGTATTATTAATATATAATATTTGTTTTTTCAAACAAACCAACGTTTCGACAAAACGTTTGAAAAACAAATATACGCGATTTAAATCCGGAAAAATAGTTTAATTTCCTCAATCTTTGGTGTTTTCAGATGTTCGATTTGGCCGATTCAGAAATCGCAACCGAAGTTACATTTACGGAACAGCTTCGTAATTTAGTAGCGAAGATAAAGAACATCATTTATTACAGAAACGACACTCGCTACCCAACAAAGGAACTGTCAGCCCTATCAGTCGTATCGACAGAGGTTATGGGCCTGGTTGAATGTTTTTTAGCAGCTAACAGAGCACCCAATTCTTTTGACATTATTGAACTTGGCGCAAGACATCCACATTTACAATTATACAGTCATCAAAACGCTCCTTTCATGAACGCTGTAGATATTTTACTAAGTAGCGGACTTAATAGAGAAATCACCTACGGTCTTATCAACGTCGTAGAAAGAAAACTCGCTGAAGTTCGAAGTTACACAGATGTAGCCGCTGTTAAAAAAACGAATTACATTCGTTTCGTTGAAGACATTGCAAGTGTCACCTTCGAAATATTCGGCAATACTGAAAAATCATTTGATTTCGTAGATAACATCTGTGGTCTGATCACAGACTGCCGGATTCCGATTAAGCATAAAGAGTTTTGTAAACTCAATCAACTCGCGAGGGAGTTGCGACAAGCTTGCGAAGATTTGACTGATATCGTTAATCCAAATGAATTTGCTAAATTGGATTCAAATTTGTTACAAAAGTACCACCAAATTTACATGAACATTGTGGCTGCGTCTGATAAAGATTTATACAACATCGGAGAACTAAGTCACAACGGAAATAAAAAGACTAGAATGCATTATTTGAGAATGTGTTACATTTATTGTAAAACAGTATGGCAGCTGGAGCAGGAGGAACGATTGCCTGAGTCATGTTCTGACTCACCGTACTTCTCTATACTTGAACGGCCTCTACACGATATATTCGGAAAAATGATCAATAACAAAGAGCTGCCAGTAACGCACTTGGAACCGATTTGTAAGAAATTGAATGTCAATTTGATACCGAAACTTATATTGAACTTTTGCCCGTCGATTACGTTAGTCAATCCCCAAAAAGAGGCTACCGAAGAGAACTTCAACAATCTGTTGCAAGCCGTGTATGATTTCACAAATCCTGAAGAGAATTTATTCATTGAACCCCAAACAAACTTCGCACCTTTACCTCGATCACCCGACCCTCAATGTTTGACATACATAGTCCTACATAACTGGGTATTGGCACACATCATAAAGAAAATTCATACATCCCCAAATGAAAACAGTTTGCAACAAAGTATGGACGCACGAACTAAATGTCTAAATAACTACATGGAGCTAGATAAATTCAATTGCTTGAAAATTTTGTTCGGAGGGAACAAGTACTTAGCCTCACTTCATTCAACTATCGATTTGGACAAATTGTTTGTTTACATGCCGCAGTTGATAGAGAAAGGGAAAATATTAAAGTGTCTGAACATTATTGACTCATTGTCCGAACGTCAGTTGCTGTGCAGTGCGAATCTGATGAACTTACGTGATTTGATCCTGTTTAAACTGGCGACAAACCCAATGATGGCTAACAATTGGAAATACTGCCAGTATTTGAAATGTCCTGAATTAAAAATAGACTTAATATTGAACAATTTGTGCAGTTGGCCTGCTGAAGGTGCTATTGAAGTCTTGGACTACTTGAGATTCCTCTTGGATGTGGAGACTCTGGATGACGATTTATATAAAAGCTGCACTGACTGGATGGTCAAGATACCTTTGTATGACCAAATCGCGTCAATAATGGGGGTAAATCACTGGTACAACATTTTCGAAAAGTCAATTGAAAACCCAGAGGAAGTAATTGAAATACTCATGGACAGTCAACAGGTAAAAACACGACATTATACAATATTGTATTGGAATTTCGTTAGTAAAAAAAATGTTAAATTTGTTTTTGTTTATTTTCAGTTTAAACTCTGTTTGGAATGGGCGGATGTGCACGAAGTGTCCGAACACATGAAAAACTTAATCGTAATGAATTTGTTACGACAACTGTTCGAGTATACAAACCAAGCCACTCCCGACTTAGTAAGAGAACTTCTGTCACGGTTGCCTACCACTCAAGCAATGGATCTTGTACAAGAAGAGATGGCCAAAGTGAGAAACGTGGAAATACTCCAGGTCTGTGTTGACTTTACTTCTGAAAATTCATGTGATTGGAAGTCTTTCGAAAACATAAAAATAGGTCTGCAAATCATGCTTGAAATGGACATGAACCTCCGCGCTGTTTTCTGGGAACTGATAGAAAATCCTTTACTTATGATTGAACAATTGTTAATGAATGCGAAATTAGACTTGCTTGCCAAAATAATAAACAAGATTACTCCAAGTTTAAAGAAAGATCCGAGTGGGGATAATCTGTATTACAATATTAAGTCTATAGACAGTTTGGTTATATCTCGAAACGCGGTAGATGCGTTGTTAAGGTTTTACGCGGAGAAGGCGTTGGACATGAAGAATCCGAGGAACAGATGTGTTTCGCCGCCGAAGCTGACTGACGATACGCTGATGCAGTCGATAGACTCAATCAATATAGAGTCGGCGGCGAAGCCATTTGTGATGCCGGAGCAAGTACCGACAAAGGAGCAATGGGTACAAGATTACTCGACTGATCGCTGTATGTTGTGTCGCACGACGATATTTTCCATGATCATGCGAAGACATCATTGTCGTCGCTGCGGGAGACTTGTTTGTCATGCTTGCTCGAGGCATAGAATGCAGGTAAGTTATTTATTTTTAGTGTATTCCCTGTACCTATGTAATCTCATGCGCTAGAAACAGTTGATAACTTACCCCATGTAGGCAGGATGGCTATATATAATATGGAAATAATTAAGATTTCAACCCTAGGATTTTTTTCTTAGCTGGTATACACGTGTCGAAGTAATAAGGTAGGTTTGTACTAAACTTGTGCTTAATTTTAGGCAACGTATACACAACGTATTTTAGGTAATGTACATACTTTGACATTTTGCAAAAACGTTACCGTAATTTCAAGCCACATCTTCCGATGAAAGCGCGGTGGGGGGGGGGGGGCTACTTCTTACAAAATACGTTTCTAATGTACATATCTACTTATCCATCGATGATTGCTTAATAGCTGTTAGAGATTGTTTGGTACATGCTTAAATTAAATTAAAATTTGGTTAATTACTTCGTCATTATAATTACGTGTAAACCAGCTATTATTCTTTTTTTTTTCCTGACTCATAGTCCATATTGCAGGTGCCAACATACCCAAGTGGAGTAAAGTTTCGTGTTTGTGAAGACTGTTTCACTCAAACAATGAACAAGAAATCTAGTTCTGATCAAGACATATTGTTGAGCAGTAACTCCGACTCAGGCGGCAGTGGAGTTACCGCGATGGACTGGTGTCTCTCAACGAGTGATAAGAGAAATGAGGCCGTGCGAGCTGAATTTACCTACGAGTTTACGCCTAATGTTACTCTGTGCTTGTCTATTATGAAGATGCATTCGATTAATTTAGATTATCCTAGGTAAGATCTATTAATATGAACGCAACAAAAGCAGAAGAGAGAGCTTGGCTTAGGGCGCGTTCCCACTATGTCGTGACGACAGATTGTCGTGCAGTTCAGTGTCGTGTCTTGTATATTTAAATGAAATTGTACACATATAGCACGACACGATTAACTGTCGTTCACGATTTTTTATCGTTACAACGACAAACTGTCGTCACAGTGGGAACAGCTAGAACGACTGTCGTCAGACGATAAAAATACGTCACGATAAAAACGTGACGACAGATTGGTGCCATGGATACACACATAGACAACCAGAAATTACACCCACTCACGTGAGAAATAAATGTAGCCACAAATATTTCTCCCGACCCGGGAACCGAATCCGGAAAGTCTGCGTGGCAGTCCTACATGGTAACCGTTCGGCCACGGAGGCAAATAAGTAAAATAAGTACATGCAGTCAATGTCGATTGCACGCAGTTGTATATATCGACTTCGGGTTAGCAGTCTGTCTGGTAGCAGCTTTAATGCCGAGTAAAATAAAATAAAATACTAATGATTTATCGAAACCGTATACATTTGCCCTCAAATATGTTGTAAGAATATATACCATACTATCCTGTACTTTCTTTGCATTTACTCGTGGTCTCGTGAGACATTTGCATGTTATTGTTTCCTTCAAGATGTATCTAATTTCCAGATTCCTCCTGGACCGCAGCGATGAAGTGGCTCGAGAGCTATCGGGAGGCGGGGACGCTCGGTTGCTAGTACGCGCAAGACGCTCGTTGTTGCTTGCCGCTGCGGAACTGTATTCGAGAACACCACAGGAAAAGTTAATATCCTCATAATTTAAAAACCATATCGCCGAGTACGTAACAGTAGAGCTCATTGTGAAAGGGTTCCTCCAGAGAAGTACTGCCACGTTATGTATTTCTGCCGCGTGCCGAGCAGTAATGCTTACATCACTGCGTCCCGTTTTCGAAGGGTAATGGTGCTGGCGAAATTACAGGCACATGAGACTTGTCAACATTTATCTCAGTGTGAATGTCGCAGTGGCAGTGCCCCCTCAGATCTTTGCGATGATGCTCTGAGTGAACTGCAAGTGCTATGGACAAGTGTATCGCTTACCACTGGGCGCACGACTTGTTCATCTCGCCACTTAGACTCAATCGATGTCCTCAATAGACTGTTGGCATGAATCGACAAAAATCGACATGCTGTGTAGATTAACCGACTGAGTATTTTTGGCAGGTCCACTCAGTCTCAAAATATTTATTTCACCTATCCAAAAGATATAATATTTAACTTAAATCAACGGATTTACTCGCCCTACCGAGCCAGCAACTTGAAACTCGACTAGAAACTTTGACTAAGTTTTAAATTTGTTCACTGTAGCGGATCAGGTGCGCTACGAGTGGCGGAAACAGGGGCAGCACACGCGACACGCTGTTTGGCGCACGCAGATGCCATGGCCACACTCGTCAAACATCAAGCCCATCACCTAGTGCCACGCCAAGGCGCCCATCCCAGTAAGTAACGTCCTATATTGTTACCCTTATCAAAACTAACGTATTCGACATTTTTAACGACATTGAGTTATTAACATATCTGGGATCAGCGAAACGAGACCTACAATCCCCTATAAGTGGTATTTTTATACAGGATATAGAAATAAGTTTAACGAAAACGAGAACTTAGGTATTCTTCCTATGGTTGTAAAGATACATACAGTATTTTCTTGTATGGGGCCATGTCTGAGAACCTGATAGTTAAGTAGATATTGAGGATCAGTGATTTTTTTCTGGATTTTTTTACGTTTTATCTGTTTGAAATGTTGTTACTAAACCATTACTACGTTGAAACAGTATCATACCTTGATATAGTATCTTATCACGGTCTTCTACCAGCCATTAATATCCCAACCCGAGAAAAAAACTGTCTAGATCACGTAATATTGAAAACAAAACTCCCAGGCATCACTTTTAACTTACAAACAACTGTAAAAAAGAAATTTGTACACTATCTAATAACAAAATATCGTGTAAAATTAACTGGGAAGGTATTGTCGTGGAATGTGCAAGTACGGATTACAAACATATATTTTTTGAGAATAAATTTAAATAGGGCCACAAACTTATTTATTGAAATGTTTAAAATTAAAATTTTAAAAACAACACTGAAATTATGAAATCTCTCAGAAATAAATTTATTATTAAACCTTGGATTAGTCCTGGCTTATTAAAATGTATTAGATATAGAGATTTGATGCACAGAAAACTGAGATTGCACCGTAATAATGAAACTCTTAAGGCTACTTACTAAAGGTATAGAAATTTATGTAATAAACTCCTCAAAAAATTAAAACAGCAACACGAGCGGGATCAACTCATTATGGCTAAAAATAACACCAAAAGCTATGGGCGGCCGTAAAGTCAGTTAAAAATTTAAAAAAACAAAAAGAATTCCCATATGAACTTCTAACAACTGGGGACTCCCCAAAATCCTTAAAAATTTAAAAAAACAAAAAGAATTCCCATATGAACTCCTAACAACTGGGGACTCCCCAAAATCCTCCACTGATGCAACTAACCATTTCTTTGTCTGTGTGGGTAAAGACCTTGCCGAAAATATCCCACGTAATGTTACCCCTTTCAAAAACCTTTGGTCACCCTCAAGCGCACTCCAAAACTCGTTTGTTTTTCTTGAAACTGATTGTGAGGAGATTGAGCGAAAGATTGTTAATCTTAAAACAGACTGTTCTCCAGCCTGGGATGGTATTTCAGCGAAGATTTTGAAACAGATTTCACCTGTCATTACTCCTGTTCTTACTGACATTATGAACCGCTGCATTAACACGGGTACCTTTCCTGAAGCCTCTAAAATATCTATTGTCCATCCAATTTACAAGGCCGAAGATAGACACTGCACCAATAACTATAGGCCTATTTCCATTCTCACATCTCTCTCTAAAATCTTTGAGCGTATTATCAATAAGAGACTTATTGGCTTCCAAGAAACCCAAAGTATTCTTGCGAAAACTCAGGTTTCAGAAAACACAAATCCACAGATGATGCTGTCCACGATTTCACAGAGTTTTTAGTTAAAAGGCTTGACAAGGGAAAGAAATGTATTAATGTAAATGTAAATGTAATGTAGTATGTAAATCTCTCCTTCTACCCGCATATACAGAGTTTGTCACAAAAAATTCCGAAGCTTAGCTTTGTTTTCAAACAGCTAAGACATATTGCTGACTTCAAAACTTTAAGAAATATGCACTGGCACTGGTACAATCATTACTTACCTATTGCATTACCTGTTGGGGTGGAGCTGCTTAAACTAAGTTAATTATATTGGAGCGAGCTCAAAGATGTTTACTGAAAGTTGCACTCTGCAAATCTCGACTATTTCCTACATCCCAACTGTACCTGGAAGCGAATGTGCTATCAGTACGCCAGCTTTATCTGCTCTCAACTTTAATTCGTCAACACGGAATCACTCCCCCTTCCAGTGCCCCTTCCATATCTGGTAATCGAAGACTTTACTAGTTCGGAACACAATAGTACCAACACCTCATTTGCACAATTTTTTTTCTATTTTAGAGGTAGTCATTTATACATTTGTTAAATAAGAAACTTAATATCGCACTCTTCACTAAACAGGAAGCAAAAGAAGTAATCACAAAATGTTTGTTAAAACTTTCTTACGACGAAACTGAAGAGCTCCTGTTAATAATTAAGAGGAGCTTTTATTATAAGCTAAGCTATAAGTTTTAATTATTAAAACTTAACTTATAGGATAGTATACAAGTTCATTCATATTCAAGTACACACACACACACGCGCGCGCACACACACACACACACACACACACACACACACACACACACACACAC